CCTATTTGTGTTTGGTGTATGTTTGAGTTTTTTTCGCTACTTTTTTTTAATATCCTTTCTTATTTTTTCTTTATTTTTGCTCCCCATTATTTAGTGCGTTCTTTATTTCTATTTAGTTTTGCCATGTTTTTCCACTTTAAAATTCTTTTCCTCAATGACCTTAAATAACCTCCTTCTGCCATTTTTACATTTTTAGGTCTCTCTCCGGTTTGGATTGCGGTTATTGTCGTCTGCGTTGTTTTGGTTTGTGCCATTGTGGTTGTTATTTGTGTCGTGAAATTCTGCTGCTGTAAACGAGGCCGTGCTGGTCGCCCTGGGCGTGGAGGTCAAAACTCCAATTTGCTGGTTAATGTCAATCAGGTCTAATGACATATGAAATAGATTATTCTCATTTTCGTTTTCAACTTTTTCTTCAGTCTACGTCGTGCCTTATGAACACTGCCTTACTTTTTCCAATTTTTTCGTTAATCTTCATTCGAAATTTTTCCTATGAATTATTCAAATGCTTTTCTGTTTATTATGTTATGCTCTATTTCACCTCGTATGTTTCGCACCTAAATAGATGTAATTGTGTACGCAATCTCAAGCTTGTCTCCTAACTGCTTTGAGTTTTTCAAAATTAAGAATTGGATTTCTTCTAGTTTCGTCGATAGGAAGGAGAAAAGGTTCTGTCATAGAATAACTTCATTTCAATGGGGTTGTTAGCAGCTGGGATGTGTCGAGTAGTACTGCCACTGTGTGCCACTGGATCAACTAATCTACGTGGTGAATGTGGCATTTTCACACATAGTGAGAGAAGGAGACTCCTTCTAATTTGAACACTCGCCTAGCTGCACTCGCAGTACATTCAGCCATTTAACATGCCAAAACAGAGTCTACTCTCACTCCGCTATCACTCCCCACATCATCCTGCATGACTTGGCGACCTACATCTCATTCAGGTGTACGAAAGTTCAGTCGTAGATGATTTGGTATAGAGGCACGCCGTCAAAGAATAAATAAATGTGTAGGTATCTGAATCGGTGCTAACTCAGAGTTGTGGAGTTATCATAGCCCCACTCTCGTGTGACAGTCATCCAAATCACGAGATTCGCAAGAAATCAACCGCCAAGTCGTCATCGGTGCATGTCTGTGACACTTTCGCAAACACGCGTGGCTCGGGCGAATGCACAGACTTGTATCCCATTTCCGTGAAGCTGGAATGAACTGACATTTG